GCTGTTCAGTTTCGCGTAGGCTTCGTAGGCCTTCGTGATCAAACGAACTATACTGTTTCCTCCCCCTTGCTATTCAGTTTTCCCTCATACATTTTAGCCCTTACTCATTGCTTTTACCATTAATTTGTCCTTTTTAGCTTTATTATCCATTGGTTTACGGATCATAATGGTTCACCTCAAGATGCAGACTACCTTTTGTCATTGTACTACAGTCGGCGGAAGACGAGCCCCATATGTGGCAGATAGATGAAGGTTTGTTGAACCCATGTGCGTGCCCCCCCCCCTCCAAAAAAGACTAAAACTACATGAGGAGACTATAATTGTAATCTACTTTTACTTCGTTCAGTAACTAGCAGCGGCCCCTAGATGAACCTCCAGTGGTTCACCCATCCGGTTATAGCCCCGTATGTTTACTTTTCGTCCCCTCACTTTGGTGGGGAAATGCATCTGCTATCCTATTAGGCGCTATTCTTTTGATGTGTTTATTAGCCTCGTGGTGTATGGTGTAATTGAAGACGTGTTCGGAAAAGTGAACCACCAGTCAAGGCAACAGAAAGCCTTGGCCTTAGGGCCTCTCATGTTAGATCGTAAACATCTGTTATAATGTTTTGAAAATAATCTTCTATTGGGTGCTGGTCGGTGTCCCTAGCGTGCCACTGTGTAATAAAAATGTTTTCAGTACTCCTTAGTTCTAAACGTTCAGATTGGAAATGATTGCTTTACTTTGTTCATTCTGGTACGAATGACGCGACAGGTAGATCATCAAAACGTGGTCAACTTAGTTCGTGACTTTGGTCCAAGCGAGAGAAAAAAATGCGGTAAACATGCTCTAAATAGATTTTTACTCAGTTTTAGCCTGTTCATGAGTCATGTCACCGTCCTTGAAGCAGTCGCCTCACGTGGTCACAAAACGTTCCCGAACATGTCTTCCAACACCAGTAGCAAGCGAAAATGAATGGGAGTGAAACCGATTGTTACCAACTTTTTCTGATCTGTGGATTGTGCTATGCCTTCTGATTGAGAGCCACGGAACCGATAGAATTGATTTAGACAGTAAACGATATCATTTAGCGGCGCATTTGCTTTTTTTCTGCCAAACTTGTTCTCAATTGCTTTGTTAATACGGCTTTGAAATCTGAAGCAGATCAGTGTGTTGATAAGCGTTTTTTATTATCTAACCCAGAAACGGATTCCTCCCTCGAATGGAATGCGAACATGTTTCTTTGTTGTGCGACTACGGTTGATTCCGAAGTAGATCCCAATCATATTGTGTGGTAACCCTCCGTCCTGACCAGCACGGACTGTGTTTCTCCTGCCCTCTCCCTCTCTCTACGTTTTACGATAGTCGTGGCGTGTTTCCTCGGTACGCCCAGATCGTTTGGGCCAAAATCCAACATTTTCGATGGTGGCCTTGTGAGATTATTCACGCACGAAATGCTCCGATGAATATTTTGAATATGGCTCGTCCGGAAGGCACATTTCCGATACATTTTCTCGGATCTGACGAATACCAGTGGATCGCTCGTGGCTGTGTTCTTCCATATGAGATCGGACTGAAAACGTCCGCTGCAAAAGACAGTCTAGGCTCGAAAAGTGTGGAGAAGGCCTTCACTCGAGGTTTGTTCCCATCCTATTCTCTTTTGTCGTACACAATTGTGGTGCTAGAAGATTGTCGAACAACTTTATCCACTTTTTTTCGGGCTGTTCGCATGACTAAAGGTACGGAAAAGTTGTGCAATCATTGCTTCCGATTGTCGATCAGACTGGTTTCTCAGTACGATTGATTTCATGTAGGTTGTACCTTACTAAATGAGATTGGAAGTATTCTATTGCTGCTTAAAGAAGCTTCTCGGTTTGGACCAATAAAAACGGGGCCTTAGTTCACCGTCCCGTTTATAACAATGACGGTACTGATCGCCGTGACAATCAATCAACAATATTCTAACCTCTTAGTCAAATGTGTTTTGTGCCTGTAAAACGTTTCTACAGGATCGGTCTGGTCAGATTTCATTTTCTGTTTGACAGGAGAGGAGTTTATAGGGAAAGTAGACCAATTTCCCTAGCTAGATAGATAACTGCTACATCTCACCTGGCGGACGCATCACTGATGATGATTCGGTACGCATAACGTAAGTCTGCGTAGAGTTTATCAACTGAAAACACGTTGGACGCAGTCGCAACAATCGCTTCTCGGTGAAGAGTCGAGTGTATCCTTCCATTGTCTGGCCCCTATTGCTGTGTCGTGTTTAGATATGGGCGCGCTTTGAAAGGGCTAAAAAGAGTGTCGCTGTTCAGAACATCATTGACTAAAGCTAGTCACTGGAGTCCGGTGAGGCAAGACTGGACAAGCAATGCAGAGGTTAGACGCAGCATTGTACGTAATCCATAAAATCAGATGACCGGGAATTTGTTACGCATGTCCCCAGTCAAACTCCTCTGCCATGCGATGTTTGCCGAGTCAATGGGGGTTGGATTTTTAAGTCCGTCAGTGGTCAGAAGAGAACCTAATTCGGGGTTGTAAAAACCCTGACCAGTGAACTCGCTTATAAAGTTCGCTTTGAGTCTCCTGTTTTGCGGATCCCTTGATCAATCGGATTGTTGCCAGTCGTAAACAGTTGCCTCTGTACACGTTCTAACCGGATCTAGTTAAATTGCTCTAATTTTATATCCTGGTTAGTGTTCTCAACTTTTTGTCTCTTCCGTTCACCTTTTCCCCTCGATTCGATCGAACGGGTAGAAAATGGACAGTAACGAAAACCGTTGCATAACAGTAATAAATCATCAGTTAAATAAAATGGAACGTAGAATCGAAGTGATCGAATTCGCTAAACCTATGTGCACCCTATATAGTAGTAGTAGTAAACAATCATGGCGACCAATTCACTAACACAAGTTGACTGAATCCTTGTGCTGTTTATCGGAATATCTTGCGTATCCGGGATGTCCATTTTGTCTTAGATTTAGCAATGACATACGTTTTCTTCTTCCAACCTTGCACTGCACCTCACCTACTCCCATCTATAAGTCTGATCGACTCGTGAAACAATAAGACTCTCGTTAGGTCAGACAATATTTCAAACCAATACGAAACTGGTTGATTAGCGCTTGTAGCGTGCCGCTCTGTACATCTCTATCTCACATTGACTCTGACCGATAAAGCGGTCCGACAAATGCACTAACTAGTCTCGGTGCACTATCGGCCACGTGGCATCCAAATCCGATATCGATTTTCTTTTGCACCCGTCTTCATTTGATTTACCGATGATTTTTCAACGCCAGTCAATTATAGACGTGGCTTCTTCTGTTGTTGAAAATTATCGAGAGAGAAAAAGGACAGTCGTTTGATACCTGGTTTTTAATCTGTTTACGTATTTGTGGCCTATTGCAAGCAACTTATGTGTCCATCGTGTATGATCTCCGTCTGTTTTTTTTTATTCAGTTCTCTTGATATTCAGGGTTAGTGGTAGCTCATGATTCCGCCATGCATTGGTCGAAACTGAATAGGCACCTCCCAGTTTTGGTACCATTCCGGTGAACATCATCTTATTCAGCTCGTCATACAAAAGCGAAGTGGTCATTGTGACCATGAACAAAAAACTCGTCGTTCGAACTATATCCTCATATTCAAATTGTTGTTTGGCAGATTTTAAGTTTGTATGTCGATCGTGAAAAGATTGATGCTATCGATGTGGCCTCGTAGCTCAGATGGTAGAGAGTGCGCTGTACAAAAGTATAGGTGGCGTCCATGCGTGGGTTCGAATCCCACCGAAGTCACTGAGCTTTTCAAAATCTCGACATACTTATATCCTATTATATTTTGTTCAATTTTTCCCTATTGATATCTTTCAGGTGGCTTTCTCCCGTCCACCAAGGGTCTCAACCTGGTTGTCAGAGTTCAGCTTTTAAAATGGGTATTCGTCTACCGATGGGAAGACAATTAAAATCTTTAATAACATGTCTTTGAGTCATCTTCTTGATCAGTTAACATTACGCCAAATATGCAGGGTTTCGCAGGTTCATCTTTTGAAATACGTACGTGCCATACCGGATCTAGCAGCTTCTCAGTAGAATACAAAATAGTTATGCATAGGGCTTTGACAAATGCGTCAGAATTCCGCCCATCTAGATCCTTCTATCTTTTAACCATGTTCTGACTAGGCTGAAACTATTATTTATTTATTTATGTGGAAACATCTGTTGAATACTGTCATCACTTTGGACGTTGGTGGCGCAACCCCCACCCCCTAAAAAATCCACAAATCCAGTATTCCTTCTACCGTAATTTTTTTTATTGATGTGTTAAACATGGCCCACCTGTCCCATGGGAACGTTAATATACATACAATGCAGACAGACTTTTGAATCCAGACTGTGCCAAACAAATCCGGGTAACAAAAACCTTTATAAAAAGGAAAAAGTTTCATGATTTGTATGTGTGCGCGATACCATCGGGTTGTCCAGGGTAAGGCAAGTGAATCTTTTTGGGTAATTCACGACCGGAGTCTTCGGCTAGCCAAAGCCTGACCCGAAAGGCAGCGAGGCGGTGTATGAGAACCACAATCCATTGTGGTCATTGTCCAGTTCATCAGATTGTATGCACTTCGGACAGAGCCAAACGTCAGAGGTTCCCCATACACCTCGAGGTTCAATTGAGTCGGTGGCCACTGCCATATCTGGGAAGGTGTGGGTAGGTGTGGTTCGTCCGCCTCTTCTTCGTTGATTTGGAATCAGAGCTTTTAACGAACCTCCCCCCGCCCAGCCCGCTAGATGAACTGCCAGTGGTTCAGCGACCCGGATGTTGGTTTTTTTCGTCCTCTCACGTTGGTGGTAAAATACCTCCGCAACGAGAAAGCAGTGAGTAGGGTCTCCTTTGCAGACGCTGTTTAAGACGCTTGGTTGATTAGGAGCAATTCGCGATGTGCAAAGGGGGGGAGGGTGACTAGCCATATCCCACGGCACTCAATCTCGACCATACTGAGCCTTTCCAAATGTGGGTAGTGCCTTTTGTTCCACATCTTGCAACCCGTTTCCGAAGCATTCCATGTTCAGACTATTGCACATTCCAGCTTATCAGTTCGATCAGTTTGATTTAAACAAACAGATTCAATGGTAGAAAAGAGCTTCTCTTACCTCCTGATTACTTTTCCACGCACGTTTTGTGTCTCGCAGCCTTGGGACGAGCACCTCGAGCGCATCAACTGTATGTGAATCATGTGGTGAAGCGTGAACTGCCACTCACCTCTATGCATGCGGAATCGTTGCCAGACGAGGAGCTTCTTCCACCCACTGCCATGGATGCGGATATTGTTATTCATCGAAACTTGGATGAAGATCTAAAAATGACCGCTACCGCCTACATGACTTTGATTGAAAGCAATGTGTATTGGACGGAAGAATTGCTGAGAAAAGTGAGTTGAGTGGGGGTGTTTCTGATACGTTGTTGCGCCCGGTTTGCATCTTTTTCATTGGTTTTCGAGTGTGCTTTGACGCATTCTTTGTTTTGAGGCGTGTTTTTATTTGACAATTTTTAAAAGTGGTGGTAAATACAAACCAAAATTTTCGGGAATTTTCTCATCTTTTGCCTTCTTTTTTCTTCGATTCCTTTTATCCCATTTTATCGAATTCTGGAATGATTGAAAAGGTTGTAGTTGACTTTTAACCCACTGCCTTTGAGTGAACATATACTGGTTACCAGTAGGATTTTTCCAGCTCATAATTTACGAGACGCACTGTTTGCGATTTATTCTCAGGATGTAAATAAGCTAGCATCCCTCTTCCAACGGGAAAACTGTTTTCTTTTAAGGATCCAGTGTACTGATTGTGCTGCAAACATCTCATTTCGACAAAATCCGGCTGAAATTTTTGTTTTCCTCTGTTATCTCGTTCTTCATATAGCTGAACATATGGATACAACATAGCGTAATAGTCCGCAGCGTGAGTGTTTGTAATGATCGAGTTTGGGATTTGTGTCCCAATGGAGCGAGCCGGTGTGTCCATTCTATCGTCTTGATAAACTGTTTCTGTGATTACTCCACTGGTCAGGTCGCATACAGAAGGCTCGGTTGGCATTTGCCAACTTGAGACATCTGTGGCGCCGTCGCGACATCCCCTTGTCTGTGAAGAGTAGAGTGTATGCCGCGGCAGTTCGGTCAGTTCTGCTATACAGCGCCATTAAGAAAATAGGATCAAGATAGACTGTTGGTGTTCGATCACCGCTTTCTACGCAACCCTGCACGAATCTGGTGGGGCAACCGAACGAACAATACTGAGGTTAGGCGCAGAGTTTTGGGTATCCGCGGTCGCCCACTGGAGCAAGTGGTCGACCTCCGTAGATTAAGTTGGTTGGGACACGTGTTACGCATGCCACCAGATAGGTTACCACAGCGATCGATGCTCGCCGAGGCAGGTAGTGAATGGAAGAAACCCATTGGTACTCAACCTAATACATGATACGAGGGTATGAAAACCCTAATCATGGGACTGGGTCACGTAGGTCCCGTGAGGTTCCCTGACTGGGGACCTCGGGATAATGGTAACCGATGGTTGCAGACACTGAATGATATGGCTGGGTATCGTAAACAGTGGCGTTCGTGCATCTTCTCAATTTCCTTGCAACTTTGGACCACTGAATTTCTCCATCATCTGTTCGACTCTACCTTCAACGTTCCTCTTTCCTATTATTCATCCAAATGGGTAGTCGAAAAACAGCAACCAAAACCGGCGCATGAAAGTGCATGGTTAATGTTTGTACAAACTGAAGTGAACTGAACTCCATCGGTCGATCTGGCCTAATCGCGATCACTTCGGTTGTGAACAAGGTTCTTTGTCTGGCCCTTTGTGATCGACTATAGGCCAGCCGTGAAAGGACCTTGAATGCCCCTTATCACATCAGTTCGTGGACCGCGTGGGTTATTAGAGTGTTCTCGATTCGTCTCCGACGGTCGCCTAGCGGTCCTTCCTGCGTATTATGTTTCACAGCTGCGCGGATGAGAGTACACACAGGATGAGGTAGATTGACTTTAGTGCTGTCTTGACCTAAAGTCAGTGTGAACGGACACACCAGCTCGCGCCCATTCTTGATTGGTTTATCCGCACCCAAACGTCAATCATCACAATGTAACTGTACCAATACTTACACGACGGATTATTACGCTGTTGTGTCTGCATGTTCTTCTGTTTACTGTGTCGATCTAATGAGAAGTACCAAAAAACAATTCTGTATTCTCTCCTTTCAGACTGCTCACACAAAATAATGAGTATATTTTGTGCATATTTCATGTCGTCCCCGAACTAAGGAAAATCAAGCAAGACGTTGAAGTCATCGTGTGTGTGTGTGTGTGTGTGTGTGTGTGTGTGTGTGTGAAAATCACGAACAAGGCATATTTATTTATGCTTACTGGCAGGAGTGATCACCCAACAAGCCTGAAACGATTGCTAGCTGTCCGTATCGATCTGGACCTAATTTATCGATTCGCGACGAGCGACACCGGAGAGAGTTTATTGCTTTTCGGAATTGCAATCGATGTTCAAGCGAATAGTTATCGTTTTCGATTATTTCTGAGCCATACTGTTACAAATTACATAGCGTGAAAACGTTTTGAAGACGATAGCCAATCAATTGATTTGGGCATCGACCAATACTCCGTTTTCGATAGCTGATAATCATAAACCACCATTCGAATGGCTTTGTATGTTTTTTGTGTGTGTTTCGGTTATCTATCAGCACGGTTATGAATTACGAAAAAAAGAAAATGTTTGGTTTCTGTGCGACTTGTTTCCTTTCTGTGCTATATCTATCGGTCGCGGGATTTTAATTGACTCCAGCCTTAACCTGTCCTGTCTTATATTCTGAAACATAACTAACTCCTCTACGTACGACGTTTACAAGCCGGCCACAGCTCTGTACAAAACAAGCTGTTCATCCTTTCCTCATCCATCATTATATATTCCTTCACATGCACATGTTCGACAAATTATGTAGGACGGACGATGAGATAGTTATCACAAAGGATCAGGGAACGTAAACCGGTTTGGCTTAGCACGGGTTGCAAGAAAACAATAACCTGTGCGATTGTGGCTCACCTCGCAGATACCAGGCACCAGACAGATAATGACTAATTTTAAAGTCATCTACAAAGTGCCCCAAAACAAGTTCGGCAACGTCACTTGGCAACGGTAGAAGCTGTAGCAATCAAAATCCTGAACCCGCCTCCCATGTGCAAACAGAAAGAAATGGTTGCCGCACTCCAGCTGCCTTGGCCCCGCCCAAACTTCCGTGAGGATCCGAACCATGACCTTAATCATGCCGTGATGACGCAACATGGCGTGACAAGTAGCACGTGGAAAAGGTCATCGGAGATCTTCAGAATCGACCTTGGTTGCCCATCCCACCAACCCCTTTTCTCCTTTCACTCCGATTAAACTTAACAGACATTGTTATACTTTCACATTTAACCTCAATGGACCAATCACATTTATCTCTATATTATATATGAACACACAACTGTGAATGCTTTAAGACGGTGTTACGAAAACAAGCTTGTTCGCTATAGTGTTTGTATATTGAACTTCATTTCTAGAGGTGGAAAGCTTTGACGAACATCGTTTTTGGTCCTAACTACAAGGCTACTGATCACCCTCACCTTTCACATTCATATTCGTTTTTAGACATAAGAACGTTTCTTCTATGTTTCTTCTTTCTCATGTACCAGGGATTTGTTTTTACATTAACTAGCCTCATTTATAGTCCTGCGCTAGCACTCAAGTTGGTTGGAATTGTGCGTGCGTGTTCACTGTGCCCTCTTCCCGTTTCCTACTTCGCATAGATTGACCAGAAATCGCGGATGTTATTCCCATTCATTTGCTTTCCTTTCGAACATTTGCGGTGGCACATGACCGAGTTCAATTAATTCTATGTATCATTCCATTACCTTTTTATTGCGGCTGGCTCCAGACATGATGATGATCAGGATCATGAAGTTCCTTGGGAGTTTTGTACGAGAGACTTCTTCAGCGTTACTCGGCCTTTTTATTTTGAGGGCGCACTTCTGTCCTTTGCACAACCAAGTGCGAACTGCAAGGCATCAGGAAGTAATCCGTCGCCTCGGAAGTGAGTGGGTTAATGATTTCAGTTTTAAAAGGCCAGTCACAAGGACCTTTATCACAATACCGTTATTGGGCTTATGCGGCTTTTAAACTTGGAGCCAGGTGACCAGCCTGAAACCCACCTCACATTGGCAGTGCGGGATGTCAATAATAGAACGTGGCTTCCGCGCAATTTCAGTGTGTTATGTGTTGCCACGTCAGTCTGATTGATAAACACTGTCTCTTAAACAGTCTGACGCCAGTGATCAATAAATCTATTGGTGTACCGTTGCATGCCTAAATGGATTCTGCCTGGCAGATAGTCTGATACTCCTCAGTGCGGCGACAGCATCACAGTATCGATTTTTATAGGCACTTGAGATTGACCAGTCTCGTTTCCCTCATTCTTGTTCCTTTTTCGACTCACCTCGGGGACACCATTGTAGCTTGTCACGCTGTTCTACTCCATTAGGGATGTGACTTTATTTGTTTGTCGTTTTTTTCGAAATTCAAATAACAGGTACGAGACGATGAGGATTCGAAACTCTCCTCGCTGGAGTCGTGTTGTACGTGCAGTTCCGCCGCCGAATCCAATTCCCCCGGAAAATGCACACTAGAGATTCAGTGTCCGAATGTAATGGCATCGATTGAGTGTGACCGACAGCGTTGTTCGTTCGGTACCACGGATTGTGGCAATCGTCAATTCTCCACAATTAGCCAAAACTTGGAACACGACTTGTTCAATGTGGTGCGAACTGTGAATCGGGGTTACGGAGTGAAAACCACTATCCCCTTTAGTGAAGTAAGTCCGCGATTCGCATTGACTCTGAGCCGTAGAGACAGGATTATCTCGGTATCATAGATGATGCCCGGTTTTACGCTCATATATCCCAATTGTAAACACTATGTTATATGTATATTACATTTTTCACACGTCTGACGCCAGACTGTGCGGCGAAAGAATCATGGTACAATAATCTTTATGAAAAAAGATGTTCTGCTATTTGCATGTGGGCGGAATACTGCCAGGTTGTCCAGGCCAGTGCTGGTAAATTCTCTTGAGGAATCAACAACCGGGGTCTGTGGCTAACCAAAGCCTGACCCGCAAAGCAGCG